GGACCTGAACCTGTTCAGCCTCCACAAGAGAAGGCTGAGGGGGGATCTAGTGGCTGATTACAAACTAGTCAGGGGGGACCAGCAGGCATTGGGGAAGTCCCCGTTCCCCCAAGCACTACCAGGAGTGACCAGGAATAATGGTCACAAGTTGGCAGAGGGTAGATTTAGGCTAGATATCAGGAGGTGCTATTTCACAGTCAGGGCGGCTAGGAACTGGAACCAACTTCCAAGCGAAGTGGTGCTGGCTCCTACCCTGGGGGTCTTTAAGAGGAGGTTAGATGAACACCTTGCTGGGGTCGTTTAACCCCAGTACTCTTTCCTGCCATGGCAGGGGGTCGGACTCGATGATCTACTCAGGTCCCTTCTGACCCTAGAAACTATGAAACACCAGCAGCTCTACAGAGACTTGCCTGAGAACCAGCAAGCCTACAGCTAGAAGGCCAAACTTTTCCCAAGTTAATTATCTGCTACCCTCAGGTTTATCTGATGATATGAAAACATTGCTGCAAAAGGTTGACAGGTGCTGTGAATCAGTGCTTTAGCCTGTGAGGTTTGAACAAGGTGGTGAATGGATGTCATCCTAGCTTCCACTTGTGCTAATCAGAAAATATTGACCAGTGCAATAAGTTGGCACCAATGACAAGAGAAGACTACACATGGAAGTCAAGTGGAGCTGGGGTGCAGCCATGAGCTGTGCCAAGGGCCAGGAGCTATGTGTGGATCACCAAGGACTAGAACAACAGTGGGGCTTGGAGTTTGAGGTTAAGGAGCACTGGCAGAGCTGTGTAAAAGCAGCTTCTGCAATGTCTGCCTCTACTAGATCCTCATCAATACTAGGAAACTGTCACATAATTAAACAGATTCACAGAAGCAGTCAATCCATTCTCCATTTGCAGTTTACAGCAATTATGAGCTCATTAACAGCAGAAGATGAGAGGGCCTTAAAGTACCCAAGCCGGTAGTACTCTCTATATGACTGATAGAGTATCTCAGCTGCTTGTCAAGGAGCCTTGAGTGAAGGAGAAAGGTTTGTCAGAAGGGGGCAGTAACCAACCATAAGTCACTGACGTTTAATGTCCGAGCATCTCAGGGGCTTTCTTCCTGAACTTTCTCTCCTCCCAGATGAGAGGCTGGCAGCTTTCCATGGTAACAGGGAGTCAGGTAAGCAAAAATGCTAACTTCTCAATTGTAGAGGTATCTGTTCCACTCCAGGTTCACTATCTGAATTACTTCTTCTGGCCCACAGAATACATGGACAACACAAGGTGTATTACAGTCTTAAACACTAATGGTAATGTAGTGTTAAGACTAAGCTAAGCACCTGGAAGTCAGCATTTGAACACTTATGGGTGGGTGCACAGCTTTAGCTCAGCTGAAGTGTGCACAAGGTATTTTATGTGATTAAGTATAGATTAAGGTTCACACTCAAAATGGGGATAGATGTGGCATGAATGTAACACTGTTATATTAACACTGGGAACAGCCTTCATGTCTGAACTATCCAGAGCCTCTCTGGAATTTGCTTGAGCTCACAACATGAATGTTGTGTTAACATTAGGATTTTACATTCAGTTTCCCCATTACTTTTGGAAATAAATTGAGCTCTTCATCTTGGAAGGTTATGTTGTCTGCCTGCTTCACCAGCAGAGCTGCTAACTGCCTTGATCCTGGATAAAAGAATTTACCAACTCCATGGGTGAAGGAGAGAGTGCCTATAAGCCTGTAAGCCTAGGGAGAATAAGAAGAAAGCTTCACACCTCAGAATCAGGATCAAGAGAGCTATTGCCTTGGGGCATATAAATTGACAAACATGCAAATAATCAGTCTACAAACATAACAAATAATAATTGTTGAAAGGAAAAGGAAGGAGGAACCTGCTGAAAATCGGAAACTGAAAGATTATCCAAGTTACTTACATCACAGTTGCAGACCATCATTTTAAAAAAAAAAAAAAAAAAAAAGCTACTTTAGAGTTGGCACAGAGGGGGAGAGTTAAGGTTCCTCTTCCCAGTGCTTACATTTCATGGCTAAGGTTCCTGTACACAGGCACTTTAGACTGTCAGCCACCCAGCCCCAGTGTGATACTACCAGTAATATTTTTTTTCCCTGTTTATATAAACTTCTGGTAGGCTTGAGGGAATATGCTACTTGCAATAGCTAACCTATTTATTTTACTGTGTTCCCAGTGTAGCAGTGACACACAAAAGTGAATCAAACTGGGTGAATTGGAAGGGACTCAAAAAACAATGTATAAGCTAGGGCCAAATCTTTGGTGGGGTCCAAAATTATGTTCCCAGAACATTACCAGAACACCATTTGTCTGTTGGTAATATTATGGGGGCTGGTGGAAGAGAACAGGGATTGAACCCCCTTCACCCTCAATCCCCCTAGGTACACGAAGCACAGGGGATGGATGAGGAATGTTTGAATGAGGGTCTGGCAATACATAAAGGCAGAGTGCCAGTGCATTGTTCTGGATCTAAGGTGAAGATTCATTGGTCTTAAGACATGACATCTCCCCCGAAAGCAGGGAGAAGCAGCCTTCTTGCCTTTGTCTGAAGACTTGCATCATGAATCTCATGGGCAAAGCAGTTTCTTTTTCAAGTTCCTGCTCAACAAGATGCTAAAGGTTCTGGAAAACACTGGGCTTCCTAGACTACCATTGCAGAAAGAATGCAACAAAGACTTCCATTTAAAAGCAAGAGCAATGTGACAGTCCCTCAGAGAGAAGGCAGCTCCCAGCCCTTATCTCATCCCATCCCATCCCATCCCATCCATAAACTTATCTATGTCTATAGCTGCATGGGGATTTCTTCCCAGACACACTGTGAGCCTGAGATCCTAGATGGGAAGAATGATGCCCATCCTGGAGCTGCAGTCCACACTCCTGCCCTTCCTGCTTCCACTTTCTAGCAGCTCTTAGAATAGAAAGCATTTGTTTACCAAGCCCTGTGGGTTCTCTTTCTTTTGGTTTCTTGCCAGGGAAAATGTGCTTTTCACTATAAGAAGTGAGGGGTGGGGCTAGTTTCCAGTTGGTCTTATTAAGGATGAAACGGGGTGAAGTTTGAACTTGCCTGCTTCCTGGCCCTGCATGCACACAATAGGGACCGTCATCAGCTTGCCTTGCATACTGCACTCACACCGCTGTGGCCACATCTTGCTCTCAAGAGCTTTATCTTGATTTCTGCTCTGTGCAGAAGTATCAAGTTTCTCCACATCTCTGCTTCAAACATAAGTGCAAAACTGAACAGTTCAGGATTAGATTCTTCCCAAGCCCAGTGACCAGGCAAAGAAGAACAGAAAGTTGGCTAGTAAATCCCAAGCTCAACCCAGAACATGTGATCTCTGTGTCAGCGGAGAGTGGGTAAGGTGAGGAGATGTTAGTGAGGGATAACAGTTGGCTCTACCTGGGCTGTGCAGAGTTCCCTTGCTAGGGGAACTCTCACTTGACCATTTAAGATCAAAATCCCTTAGTAGCACACAGCAGGATTAGGGAAAGGAACCTGGCCCTGAGTCAGGCCCAGTTCCCTGCAGAGGAAGGACCCTGGCTAGCATAGTAACTTCTGAATAAAGACTGCAGTCTCTGATCTGCCGCAAGGCACCACAAACACAATCAGAGGAGCAAATCCTCAGTCAGTGGAAGCCAACAGAACTCAACTAGAATTAACAGAACTATAGCCAATTTACTCTTGCCTGGGATCTGGTCCCACTGGATACCAGTGGAACTGATTAACTAACACCTTGTGGGAATTGGCTCATTGATGCTAGGACAGCTGTAGCAATTTACAGCACCTTAATTTTTAAAGAGAAGCATTAAACTCCCTAAGCAGGCCCAAAGGGAAATCTGTAGTGATCTCCAGGTTTGTGAGGGATACATATGAATTATATTTGTCCACAGACAAATCCATCAGTTAAACAATGAATTGTGTTACAGGTAATGGTTTGCTGTTACTGACCAGCTGTACAGATGGTTGAATAATATTCACTCAATAAATAATTCATGTAATTTCTCCACCAATCAACAGATCAACTAGCTATAAACTTTGCTTCGGTCACTCCCCAAGCTCCAGTAGGACGAAGCGTTTGAATTATGGCTCACAGATAACTAACTAGCATGTGCTTTCTAACTTTTTTCATCTGAGTTTGAACCTGCTCCAGTGACCTGGAAATTCAATCCATAGTTTAACTTTTCCAAGTTCATGTTCTGCTTAGGAGAGAGACTGGAAAATGGGGGAGAGAAATAAAGAGAAACAGAGGTGAGACAAAAAGAAAGAGATTCTAGTGAAAAGACAAATTCTGGTATATCAGGACAGGGCACTACTTTGGGCAAAAGTTGTTTTAGGTGACTAAGCTTGTCTATATGACTATCTAATGGACTACTTTTTGGGGGTCCTTGCAAGTACCATATATTCTTTACTTATTCTCAATATTCTGGGGACCGATAGTGCAGAGCTATTGTCCCCATTTTGGGGTGGGGAACGGGTGTTTCTTGCAAGATTCTGTAGTATAGGACTTGATGCTATTCAACAGTTTTGTCAGTGAACTGGAAGCAGAGAGAAATTCACTTCTCAGATTCTGTAACTGGCATAAAGGTAGACAAAAGATTAAGAGATGCTGAGAGCAAGGCTGACAAACAATAACCTGGATTGCAAGTAAACTGGGTCCATTTCTTAAAAATAGGGTTTAATCCAGCCAAATACACAATGATAATTGAGTTTGAGGAAGGGGTACAACCATACTTGCAGAATAGAGGCTGTATCCCAGAAGGCAATAAAGGACTCAGGAGTAGTTAAGGGTCAGTGGGTGCATCTACATGCCCAGTTAGTGTGGTGCAATAAACTCTGGTGCTACTGAGCACAGCATCTACGGGTGTGTCTGGGACTGCAGCAGTTTGAACTGGGAAAGAGCAGCCCTGGGCTGGTAGCAGGTGTGGGGGGTCATCTCTGGGGTCAAGGCATTGGGCAGCAGAGGGCATGGCTGTGGCACAACAGTGGCTAGGTGGCAAGCAGGGGTCTGGCCCCCTGCTGCCTGGGCTGAATGGATGCAATTTATGCTTGGGTCAGTGTCTTACACGTGTGTTTAGGTGCAGTTATTTTTGGCACCATAAGACTAGTGTCCCCAACAGTACTCCTACAACAGCAAAAATTAGCTTGCTAAGGTTTAATAGAATTGCACGTGTAGACTGACACTTTACGCTGCAGCAAGTTAGTCTACTGCACAGTAAAGTGCACATATAGATGCACCCAGTTTGTACAAGGACCTCAGCATGAACTCTAGAATAATCTTGTGCCGAAAAGGGGTTGACATAGTTCTTGGCTATAAAAACAAAGTGGTGGTGAGTAAGTGCCAGGGGTCATTTTTAGCTCTGCATCTGGCACTGATGAGAGCAATACTAGAATACTGTATACAGTTCAGGTGTCCATGCTTTCAAAAAGATACTGAAAAAACGGGAGAGAGCGCAGATAAAAGCCATAGACATGATTCAAATGCTGGAGAACACATTTGATGGTAAGAGACTTAAAGGGCATCATGAATGCAGTTTACCAAAAAGAAAAGGCAAGTCTGTTACAGCACAGAATTACCTTTTATAGAGAAAAAACAACTGGGTACTCCAGGGCTTTTAATCTAGCAGATCAAGGCAGAACCAAAATCACTAGCTGAAAGCCGAAGCCAGATGGATTCAAACAGATAGTAACAAAAGCATTTTTTTTTTAAACACTTCTGGAGATTCACCAATGGGACCAGCTACTTAGCTAAGCAGTAAAATCTCCTTAAGGTCGCCTAGCCAGATCAAATGCATTATTAGAAAGTATGCTTTAGCTAACACTAAAGGTTGGTCAGAAGATCAAGCAGAACCACAAGGCTGGAAGTGACCTCACGTAGTCTAACCCACCCCCAAAGCTAACTCTTAAGGCACTACTGGGACTTGAACTCAGGATCTCCTGCTTACTAGGCAGGTGCTTTAACAAACTAAGCTACAGTGCCTCTTTTGTTGTAAGAAAAAAATGAACCAATGATCCCTCTGCTTCTCAACTCCAAATCTATACAGCTTACAGTTACACAGGAAAGTCTTGCTAGATGTTGTGGTACAAGTTTCCCTCAATTTATGCTGTACATGCATTCCTGGAGAATGGTGCATAAATCAAATTTGCATAAAGCGAACCCACTTCACAATGTAACAAATAGGGATAGCTTCACATGGTGGTGAGGGAGGGACTGGTGCTGCTCTCCCGGCTGCACAAGGCAGTAAAGCAGAGGGAACAGAGTGGCACTCACACCAGCCCTGGCTGCAGCAGCCCCAGGAGCAGCTGGTGCCAGCGGCCTGCAGGCACTGGGTTGCACTGTGCTCCACCTGTCCTCATTCACCTCTGCTCCTGGGCTGTGCCATGCCCTGGTGCAGGCAGCTGGTGTCGGCTGCTCCTGGGGCTGCTGCAGCTGGGGTTGGGGTGAGTGGGGCCACAACCCTTTCCCCTCCCCCCACAGACTTACCTGCTTGGGTGGGGGAAGAGCTATGCTGATCGCGTAAGAGTGAATTTACCTCGCATATAATGAATTATAAGTCTAAATATGCTCATTGTATAAAAGTGAATTTGCATATAAAGAACTTGCATAAATCAAGGGAAACCTGTATAATTATACCAGAGAGAAGTAGGTAGCCATGTTAGTTTGAAGTCAAGGTGGATTTGCACTTTACATGCTAACAACTGATGAAGGACTTCGCTGCATCTCTGATATTGTACCAGCAGAACAGAGATACTTTGTAAAGCTATGTTCCTTACCCACCATCCAGTGAAAATGAGGATTTGTGAAGTATCTGGGGCAGACAGTGTCCCAGCAAACAGCTGTGTAGTACCATGAAGGTGCCCTAAATTTTGCAGGGATATTTAGTGCAACGGGTGTGTGTGAAACTGTTGATGAATTCCAGCTGAGTAGAGAACCAGCAGCCTTTGAAGCAAAGGCTGCATCAAGCAGCAGGTTGTGAACCACTTGGATATGAATGATCTGGATACAATTATATGTGATAAATGAAATTAGTTATATAATATATATCCCAAACAGTACTCAGAAAGGCCTGGGAATCTCCTTACCTCAGTCTGTCCATTTCAAGGGGACAAACTGGCTATGAGGGTAGTTCTCACCAGAGACAAGGTACTCCAGAAACATTCGCTTTGTAACTGTAATACTGAACATCAGTGTTGGTACAGAACAAGCACAGATGACTTTTAAGCAGACGCTCAAGCATGAGACCAGATGCTTATTCTCATGTGATAGACTCGCTCCATGCAGAGGTTGCTGTTGCCACAGACTATAGTCCCCACTGCACAAAATAATATTTTCCCCTACAGAAAGCGCTAATTCTTGGAGAGCCAGGCATGAGGCTAGTTCATTCTTTAGACATTTGAATCCTTTGACACACAGTTATATTCAGACCCCATCAAAGGAACCGTTTTTTTTTACTAGGGTGGAGCTGGCCTCAATTCTGAAAATAGTCTAAGATTTTTTAATTGCTGTAACCATTGCAAATACAGCAAGCTAATGAAATACTAAGCCCAGATGGTGACACCTTGAGCAAAAATGCTCCCTGAAATTATGAGAACCCCTGAAGAGTGAGACTAGAGGGAGGAAGTCTGGACTGGCCTGGCATTTTACCTAATATTGCTACTTAATTTCTAAAAGAAGCCCCAGTTTTCAGGATGTGTTTTATAGTAGTTGTTCTTTTAATTATATGCTGTTGTGGTAGTATGTGTCATAGCAGCTAACTAAAAAACCCTAAGCCAAGGTGGACTGTGCCTTGCATTAGCACCCCATGCCACTTACTCCCCTAGACTTCTTTTGAATCCTCAGCAAAATTAGATACTCAGATGCCCTTGACACAGACAGGGGCCTGGGTACAACCATAGTCTTCTACCTCAGTTTTGAGGGTTAGCTACTCAGAAGTGCAGTTCTGCAGTGATGGACTGACCACACTCAGTCACAGGTCAATGAGAAGTAGGTTGCAGCCCACATCTCAATCCTTATTTCTGAGAACACCATTAACAGCTTAGGAACTTCCTTTCAGCATCTCACACCTCACAGATTGGCATTAGGGTACAGACAGTAGCATACCTTTTGAAACCTAACCATGCTGTGTGTACCTTCTCCTGTTCATATAGCTGAATACCAGCTCTTACCCTCTCCTGTTCCCCTCTGGTATCAGCAGCACATGACACCCTGCTTGCATTGGTTCCTGACTTCCAACCCAGGGGATAAAGAATCCATTTCCAGAAAGAGATTCAATTGAGGATTTTCACATCCAAAAAGTTGTGGATCTGTCTGTCAGTAGAAAGGAGCTGCCAGTTGTCAACAACTGAATTTCCCAGGAACTCTTCTCCAAATAACCCAATATCATGGTGCTGCTGAGGCTTCCATGTCTGCATTGGGCTGCAGTTTGAGGTATATAGAATGAGACTCTGGGTGATTGCAGACTCAGATCTGATGCCCTCATATTAACCCCCTAATAATATAAAACCGGGGTGTTAAACTCACCCTGGACCAGATCCAGATCATGGCGCCTCTCCCAGGCCAGAACTGTAGTGTTTGCAGCATATGCAGCAGTGGGCCCACTGTGGGGCTGGGAGTGTGTTGGGGCCAAGTGGAGATGGGCCAGGTAGCTGCAGGGAGAGTTGATCTGTGGCATCGCAGCCCTTACACTTCTGCTGCCCATGGCCATGCCAACGAGGCCCTGAATTCTATAGCAGGTCCCACCCCTCTGGCCATGCCCCCAACTTCTGGTAACCCTGGTGGGCCAGACAGAACATCCATGTTGCCGTATGTTGACACTCCTGGTGTAAAAGAAGCATCTCTATGCTTGTCATGGGGGGAAAAGGCAGAACATTGGGGAAATTTAGAAGGGTAAGTGCTTCACTGGACCAAGGGAGGTCCCCATGAGACTATTAATAATTACTTATTATTGCGGTCATACTAAAGAGATCAGGACTCAGCTGTGCAAATGGAGGTGTCACACCTCTCCAAGTACACAGAGGTGTTTGCATCTGTTAGTTTGTCATAGAAGGGCAGGGGAAAAGCGGAGCAATAGAGACACTGGTAGTGGTATGGTAAAGGGGTGGGTAAGTGGCAGGGGACAGCAGGCAGTAATGTATATTCTTGGAGCTTTGAAAGTGCCAATCTCATAAAGCTGGAAGGAGTCATGAGACAAATTGACTCAGAAAAAGAATTTAAGCAGCCAAATGTGAATGACGCTCAGAAAGTAGATGTCTCAAAAGCCAAAACATCACATTTTAGACAGAAGGCTACAATGGTTAACATACAGCTCTCATTACAGCGGAAATGAGAGAGGGGGAGTGTTTAACATCAAAGACTATCAAGTGGAAGGTAGAATTTGTAGGAAATTGTTAAAGGAAGAAAAAAAGGCTACCAAAAGAAATCTATAAGGAGTTTTTAAGTATACAACTTAAGTTGCTTAAGGGCATAGTCAGTAGAGGAGACAGAAGAAAGTCTATGTGCTTACCCATAGTAAGGGTAAGCAATCTTGGTTAATGACAGGAACAGTCTGTGTTCAGTTTTTCACACTACACAAAGATATAATTGCACCTTTCCCCCCCCCACCTCTTCTTTTATGTCTCTAATAGCCTTGACAGGATAGGACCTTGTCAATTCAAAGCTGCTGTGAAAGTGATGGCTTCTAGTTAGTACCATAGCAGCAAAGCAGAGTGCAAATGTATTAGAAAGTATACAGTGAGGCTGAAGTGTTTTTATGCACTCAGGTTGTTTAAGCAGTATGCAGATAACCAATGTTCGTTAGAATGGAAGCAAGAGAGGGGGAAATCAGAGACCAGTATGATGAGTTATATTATGCAAATTATGTACTTATCTAATACACATGTAAGTGGAGTACACAGTATCCAAAACAAAAAGAAGCCTTTCCTAAAAGGCTAGCTGGAAATGAAAGAGTGATTAATAATCATACAGAAAAGGCAAAAGGGTTCAATAAATATTTCTGTCCTGTAGTTGAGAATAAGTCCAATGATGCATGCATATCAAGTGGTGATGACAACACAATAGTTTCTAATCCGAGAGTAATCTGGAAAGATATTAAATAGTGGCTTTTAAAGTTGGATGTTCTTAAATCAGCAGACCAGGATAATGTGCCTCCAAGAAGCTTAAAAGACCTGCTCAAACTTACAAGATAGGGGGCTGTAGGCTGGGAAGCTGCGACTGAAATGAATTTGAGGATTACCAGCTGGACACAAGTTCTCAGCAGCCCACAAGCTCTGCTGTGGCCAGAGGGCTACTCTGATCCCAGTACATACAAATAGGAGTACTGAGTAGAAGTAGAAAGATTGTTACCACTGTATTTGGCACTGACTGGGCCATTGTGAATGCTGTGTCCACTTCTGGTGTCAACAGTTCAATAAGGAAGTTGACAAATTGGACAGGGTTCAGGAAAGAGCCACACGAATGATAACTAGATTGGACAGACCTAAATTACTAAATTGGAGCCATGGAGACAAACATTTGACAATAGCGTCTTTAAATCTTGCAGACAAGCACATAACCAGAACCAGTAGCTAGAAGCTGAGGTACAGTAAAGTCAGTCTAGAAATAAGATGCATTTTTTTTTTTTAACAATGAGGGTAATTAACCATGGAAACAACTCACTAAAGGCTGCACTGGATTCTCCATGATAAGAAGTTTTAAAATCAAGATAAGATGCTTTCCTAAAAAGAGATGCTGTAGTTCAACCCCAGCTCTTGGACTGAAAGTAGGAATGAATTCAAACAAGTCTGATGTCATCTTTTCCTCTATGCAGGAGGTCAGGCTAGATCTCGGTGGTCTCTTTTCGCCTTAATATCTATACTTGTGTGATTTTTCTGAGATGGGAAGGTAGGGAAGGCATGATTATAGATTGGGAGTGCGTAGGAGATGAAAAGGAAAATTAAAGGTCAAGCACTAGTGTTGAGTATGGTGAGGAGGGAAGGTAGAGC